AAAGGATCTAGAACACGGTGGAACCCAAAGCAAAGGAACCCAACTGTGGGTTCCCCAAGGAACTGGGTTCTTCACAATGAGGAACCTAGAGCTGGGTTCCTTACCACAAGGAACCCGATCTGGGTTCCATTATGAGGAACCCAGAGCTGGGTTCCTCGTCATGGTGGAACCCAACTCTAGGTTCCTCATCGAACCCAGTTTGTACCTTTCTTTCACCTTTCTTTTCTGTGATTCTTTCTGGTTTTGATAGAATAATAAGATGATGATTTGATTCTTTGATGGGTTCTCAACTTTTCTTGCAAGTGAATTAAAAGATTGTTCCTTTTTTTCCAATTTAAAGCAACCTTCATTAAAACCATGGATGAAATCTTTTTCGATCTTCCATGGAGGCTGGGTTCCATGAGGAACCCAAAATTAGGTTCCTCACGAACCCAGGTTCTGGGTTCCTCTTGGAACCCAATTTTGGGTTCGTGGAACCCCAAAACCTGGGTTCCGCAGATGATGAAGAGGACAGTGAAGAGGAGGGTGAAGATGATGTCAAGGATGAGGAGAAAGTAGAAGGTGAAGAAATTAAAGTTAATTATGTTTTAATTGATTTAATTTTCTATGTTAGTTTTTTTTTTTTTGGTTGGGAGGCTTTCACATAAAATTATGCCATGTCATCATGCCATATCATCAAAAAATCGTCCACATTAGATAAATAATGCCATGTGACGCCCACATCATTATTTGGTTCCCACATATTGCACTTTTTAACAGTGACATAACGATATGTTAAAATATTAGATTTTTTACAGGTTTTGAAAAGTGAAGGATGTTACTCGGGAGGAAAATATTTGAAAGGTGTTCACTGCGGAAAAGATATAATTGAAGGGTCCAAATAGGGGCTTTGGCCTAAATAGTACATCATGCCCCTTTACTTACCCACTCTACATGTTTGTCATTGAAATACATATTTATTTTTAATAAAAAATAATAATTATTAAGTTATGTAAGTGTCACTAGTTCCTTCTAAATTTTTTTTTATCACATTTAAAAGTAAAAAATTACAACAACATAACAAATGAAAACAAAAGAGCCAAATTAATCATCAATATTATAACATCTAGAATTTATATTAAGAAAAAAAAAACATTATGATCCAAAGAAGTGTTTCATAAACTTCTGGACAAATTAATGCTGGCATTAGAAAAAAAGAAAAACATTTTGCATTAAATATTTGAAATGCTTAACCAAATTAAAAAATAAAAACCTTCATGTAGACCATATCCAACATGCATGACAAGCCCTAGCTAAAAGGTCCATGCAAAATTATAATCCTCCATGGAGGTCAAATTATCACGACACATTGCACCAGACATCAGTGTGGATTCAACAAACCCAAGATCAAAGCTAGTGCTATCAAATGAAGCACCCATCTCATGCATTTCCCCCTCAATTTTGTCCATCAGATTATCATTACATACAATAGTACCACTCTGCTCCTTTTCCTGCTGCTGTAGCACCTGTCCTTCCATTCCCGGTAGTCGACAGGGTTCAATAGCACCATCAGTACCCAAAATACAATCACCTTCATCCATGATATTGAACCCAGATAATGAAGAAGATAAGGAAGATATAAGTGTGTTGTCAATGGATGAACCATGAGGGTAAATGGTGGGTTCTTCGTAGTTCTGATCATTACCATTCCAAATGACATTGGGGTTTTGATACTCAGAATTGGGAATGGTCATGGGGATGGGCATAGGAGGAGAAAGTGCTGCTGAAGGAAGTGTAATAACAGGTGGGTTAATAATCTCCATGGAATGGGACCCATTGAAAACAGAAAAAGTTTGCTCTTGCATTTGAGATGATGAAGAACTACTTGTGTTGACCCTGTTAGCTCTCTTATGAGAAGAAAGCAGATTGTGAGTTTTGGGGTCCAGTCCTTGGGAGAGAAGCTTTTTCTTTATGCAGGAGTTCCAGAAATTCTTCACTTCATTGTCAGTTCTTCCGGGTAGATGTTTTGCTATCTGTGCCCACCTGTTAAACATTAACCACACCCATCAAAACATCCAACTTAAAATCAAGTTACAATAGATAATCAAAGAGGCCAGACTAATTTATAAAACAATGGTAAATTCAGAACTCATTTCGATGTGAGATTATATTTTGTATACCACTTACAAACACATATATTTGGGAAAAATGCATTCAAGTATTTCATATTACTTACCTGTTGCCCAAAATTCTATGAACATCGATGATAATCTGTTCTTCTTCTGCAGTAAAGGAACCCCTCTTGAGGTCAGGTCTCAAATAGTTTATCCATCTCAATCTACAACTCTTTCCACACCTCTGCAAACCTGGAATTCAAACCTATCATCATCAGGGAGGGATAAAAACCATATGAGAAAGATATAATTTATATCTAAGTATACTATTTGTATATATACCAGCGAGTTTAGGAACAGAACTCCAGCTGCCATGGCCGTGTTCAGTGATGTGTTTGATGAGCTTTTCATCTTCTTCAGGAGACCAGAGGCCTCTTTTCACCTTCTGCTTGCTGCAGCAGCGGTGTCCCATATATATTGATCCTAGACAGGGTATGAGCTAGATGTGTCTATATTTTTCCCTACTAGTTCCTCCTCCGGAAATTCAGCTCATATGCATTTAAATGAGGACTTCCTCTCCAACTAACATGGTCTTAAAAAATGCTGCAACTGAGAAACAGAGACAGAGAGCTTGAACAACAATTTCATGGATTTAATATCTTGATGGGTAATTGAAGGGTGGTCTTAGTCTCTCTCCTTTACTTTATATTTAAAAAATGGCAATTTCAAAGGGGATTATGATTTGCAAAAGATGAGTATGATGGACCCACTAAAAAAAATTAGAACAAAAATTTGTCACTTGGGTTACTTTGACGTGACCTTAGCAGTACTCTCTCAGTTAAGTTCACTTCCTAATTACACTTTAATTGAATAAGGTAGTATCATAGCAGGGTGTTATTTTAATATATAATTAAAAACCCTTTTGTCCCAAGCTAACAGAACCTCTGCAGCTAGCCTTCTTGCCCTGATAACTATAACCCTATTGTAGGTGCACCTCAGTTTAAGGACTTGAATATGAATTTTTTATCCCCAAAATTGTACCCATTCAAAAAAAAAAAAAAAACCCTTAATTTTTCCCCTTTTTTATTTTTATTTTTAAAAGGCAATGGTTTCCTTTTTTCCTTTCCAAAGAAACTTGAAACTAGAAAGGGTTTCTTTGCAACCTTAATTATGCTAAGTTTTTTTGTTCATCTTTCTCTATCAGCATTATTTTGAACCGTACATCCATTTTGATATGCAAACCTCAAGGCTAAAGGAGGTCAACCGACACAGTGTATTAAAAGAAATAATGAGCTGGAACTTTAAACTTGGGGTGCACTCATTCGCGAGGGACACATGTTCTGAATTGTGTGTCTTTGAGGCCTTTATCTGATCTCCTCACTATTTCAGTATCTTGAATATTCACCTAATTTATAGTGATTAATATTGTTGTAATTAATTAATTTATTTATTTAAGTTCAATTGTGGACTACTTGTGATAAAAAATTTTGTTACATCTTGAATTTTTTTAGTAACAAATCACATGTAATCACAAAATATATTTGTTATAAATCATAATTTTAGTCACAAGAAAAAAATAGTATCTGTGATATAAATTTATCATTTATAACTAATAATTAATTTATTTATGATGATTTTGACCATCACAAATTTAAATAGTTTATTGTAATAAATTTTTAGTAACTAAATACAATTT